CATGAAATACTAGAGTTCTTCACACATGGGAAGTTTCTAAAGCAAGTAGACCATACCAGCATTGCCCCAATCCTTACGCTTCACACAATCCATCTGTTGTTGACTTTAGACCCGTCTCTTACACTAATGTGATCTACAAAAACCATAACCAAGATTCTCTCTCACAAGATGAAACCTTCATTGGCTGATCTAGTTAACCAAGCTCAAAGTGCCTTTGTGGAGGGTAGGGATATTATGGACAACATTTTCGGGATTCAAGAGCTGGTAATTGGGTATTCTAGGAAAACAATTTCACTTAGATGCCTCATAAAGATTGATCGAAGGAAAGCATATGAAACTATTAGTTGGAGTTTTTTAAAGAGACATTCGTTGAATTTGAGTGCCCACCTAAGTTTATGGGCTAGATCAGGGAATACATCTCAACACCTACATTCTTCGTGTTAGTCAATAGAGTAATTTATGATTTCTTTAGAAGGAAAATAGTAATCAGACAGAGGGATCCATTCTCTTGTGCATGAAAATATGGAATATCTATCTAGAATGCCTACTCTGGATTCTGGAGGCCTCAATCATTTTTTTATTGCTAGCCCACTGGTGTGCTAATAAGTTGTTTGGTGAGAAAATTCGTTGCCCACTGTTTGATTTAATGCTTAAGGAATGTTTGTTTTTGCGATGTTAAGCTTAAGGTATGTCCTTTGGATGTTGTATATATCTTTTTACAGTCAATTCGGTTAAAAACATCCTGTGAGAAATATTTTTATTCCTTCCATTCCCGATTGGTGATATTTGAAATTGAACCGTGGTCAAGAACTCAAGATTGACGTTTCTCAAACTCCATTTGACACAGTTGGGTTTTTGTGAATCGGTTAATTTTGACAACGCTCAACACATGGGCAAAAAACAGAGCCATTCGAATACATGTGAGCCAAGTTGTTTTGTGGACATCGCTGCTGCATTTAGGATATTTTTACTTGGACTGTAATTTGCTGATCTGGTCTGGTCTAGTCTGATCTGGTCTGGTCTGAACTGGTCTGGTCTGGTCTGGTAAGGTCTGGTTTCTTTGTATTTTTATAACTATCCAAGTCTGGTCTGGTCTGGTCTGAACTGGTCTGGTCTGGGACAAATTACCGTCCAAGTAAAAACATCCTTAATGACCAAGTCACCATGTTTGCAACAATGTGCCACACCATCCACATGTCAACTCCCATGCCGCCGTATTATGACTATTACGCTTGTTTGTTTATGAATTATGATGATGAATCGCCTTGCCTTAAAGATTCTTAAACATTCTTGTACTACAAATCCATGATGTTTTGTACTACAAATCCACCCTTTTGACTTGATGACTGTGTAACATCAATTAGCATTGAATTAAGCACGCAGCCTAGTCATGGACCCGGGCCGGGCCGGTTCCGGTTCCGGGCCGGGCCCGGCCGGGCTTTTTTTTTGGGAAGGAAGGCCCGGGACCGGCCCGGGTAGCCACCGGGTCCGGTCCGGGTCCGGGCCGGGCCTCCGGTTCGGTCATAATTTTTTTTTTTTTTTGCTTTCCTAACCCCCCCACTCACCCTCCCACCCCCCAAACCCCTCATAACCATCAAGCCCAACCCAACTAACCCCAAAAAATGAAAAAAAAAATAAAAAAAAATCAATTCGGCCCGGGCCCGGGCCCGACCCGGCCAGGCCGGTTCGCCAAATACAAGGCCCGAGCCCGGACCCGCCCCCCCACCGGGCCTAGGCCCGACCCGGACCCGGACCCGAGAACCGGGCCGGTTCCGGGCCCGCACAGTGGCGGGCCGGACCGGGCGGCCCGAACCGGGTCCATGCCTAACGCAGCCCCTTCTTGAGTTCTTAAACTGAAGTGATTAAATTTATACGAATTGTTAATAATAAAAAACGAGTTATTTTGGTACTTTCATACAAGTTCAAAAATATTATCGTTCATTGGTTATTCCGTTTAGGACTTGTCACAAAGCAAAAGGTTTGGGAAAAAGTAGTTGAATGGCAAACACTTGTTATTTGTGAGATCTGGACAAACATTAGGGTAACAAAATTTTGCTTGAGATAATATGATTTTATATCGATCGAGGAAGAAAAGGAACTGTAATCCGTATAAACAAAAACACAAATTCGATGCCAGCACAAATCGATCACTCAACTGAAAAACGACAGATCTCGAATCGCACAGTATCATCACACATAAACCGTATATATCATCATCATCAGAACGATTACAAAAAACAGCAATGTCATCATCACATATACATATAATAAATACGGATTATCAATTTATATATAATGATAATAATAATAATAATAACGGTACTCCGTAATATACATCGCCGCTAAAAGAATCGTCTCAAAGACATCCTGGAAACAAAGCAGTCACATACTCATCACACCGATGAAACGTACCAATCAACACCGCGTAAATTACATCCGAAATATATATATAGATAAGATGGAGGAGTATTTTAAGTAAAACACGGAAAATATAGAAAAACAAACAGCAAACTCAGTGCCTGAGAAGAGCAGCGACAGACAGCAGGAGCGATCCTCCGATCACGGCGGTGCAGATCGGCAAATCCAAAGCGCCACCAGCTTGAGGTGCTGCTGCTGCTGGAGCTTCGGTGGGAGAAAGCTGGGCCGAAGCAATCACAGCGAAGACGGCGAGTGCGGCGGCGAATAGGAGCGCCTTGACGAAGCTAGCTTGTGCCATTTTTGAAGGATGAAGGACGATTTCTCTGATTTCTGAAACGGCTGTGGGAAATTGATTAGATCTGATCGTTTAGGTTTCCGGTGAGAAATTGGGAGCGGAGGAGGTTGTATTTATAGGGGTAGGGCAAGCGCGTGAGGTACGGAAGTGGGAGTTCGATGGGAGCCGTTGAGCTAACGGCGTAATCGATAATAAAAGTCAGAAAAGAAAAAATTAAAAAAGGAAAAGGCAATGTAATCTGAGGAAGTTTCGCAATGTTTTACGGTTACGGCGCCGTAAGTGGGGGCGGAAGAACACGTCGCATGTGCTGGTTGGATTGAGCTGTCAAAAGTCTAAATAAGACTTGTAAACCTTTCTTCACGTGTACTGTTTTGTTCTTGCCAACTAGAGTAGATGCTGGAATTTCTTTGTTTCTTTATCAAAAACCTTATTTGTGTTCACAAAAGCTAAAAATGTACCCGTTAAGAATCCTTTCAATCTATTTTTGATTTATCAATCTTATTAGCTTCCTTCAAAAAAACATTCTTATTAGCTGAAATTATGTGCTGAATTGCATTAAAAAAAAGGTTAAAATTACTTTTCTGATTAAATTAGTTGAAATTTTTGTAAAGAGGATATTTTAGTTATTTTTAATAAAATCTATATTTTATTTTCTTAATAAAATATTTTTTAAACATAATTATTTTCATAAATCAACACAATCATAAAAACTAGTTTTTCATCCAAAACTTCATAAATTTCAACAAAATATATCAATTCTACCAATTTCAATGCTATTAAATATGCTCTCAATCAATTCAAATATTTATATCCTAGTACCGTGGTATATACTCACGATATTTTGGAGAAAATCGTCAAACATAGGACCAAAATCCAAACTTTTACCCAAAATAACACAACATGTATGTTTTTCCCGAAATCGGATTAACCTTATCTTTTTACCCCTAATTTTATTTATTTAATTAATTAATTAATCTAAATGATTGCCTCCTAATTTGCTTGCACAACCAAGGCAGTCTGTTGGTGGCGACAACACTGCGGCAACCGGCGGCGGTGGATTCTGGCGTCTACGGCGAACCCTGGCGCGGCGAAAGGCGGCAGAAATGTTGGCACCCAAAAAAATTGAAGTTTTCAGACGGCGGCAATAACAGCAGGTGGTCGGCAGCAGGCAGCAAACCAGGGCAGTAGTGGGGATATTTTGGTCTAAACACATACAAAAAATCTTATTTAAGAATGTTTAACCACGTTTTGCTCCTATTAAGGTTAACCTCTCCAATATTTTGATACAAACAACTAATGTATGTTACAAAGAATCAACAAATATTTTCAAACATTAGTTTCCGCACAAAAATAAACTGGACTCACAAACTAATGTAAATGACATGCAAAACAATGTCTGAGCACGGGCGATAGTTGTATGCATTTTCAAATATATTTCCCGCACATGCAACAGTTTTCTATATGCATGTAAATCAATGTTGTTCATAGTCAAATTAATATCTATGTGATCAAAATGAAAATTTACCAGATATTTTTTTATCACAAAAATAATAATAGTTTGTAGGTGCACATGAAAACGAATGATATTCACAAAAAGTTCTTCCTTATTCCCTTATAACTTTACTAAGTTTGAATGTCACAAAAAGTAACAAAATAAAAACTACTCCATATTGCTAAAGTTTATTCAGAAGAAAGTCAAATAATACAAACCACAAATTAATTAATTAAAAAGATAATAATGTTTGTGAAATTAGGTCACACACAAACCATGTCTGTTTGCAGAAATACATTTGAAAAACCTGTAAATTGTCACACGAAACACTTCTCAATTTGCCTCTTATAATTTGGACAAATTTGACCAACACAGAGAATAATAACGTTAAGTTGTATAGTTAATGTTTGTGGAAAGTCAGAAAGGTGTCAAAATTATAGGCGACAAAGGGAGTACTAGACAATACTCCCTCCGTCTCCAAAAAAAAGTTCTCATTTTCCTTATTTGGATGTCCCTAATTTAAGTTCACATTTCCTTAAATGGAAAGTTATCTACATCAAAACAGTACCAAACAGTGCAAAATAGTGTCAAACAATGACAAATAATGTCGAAACAGTGTCAAAACAGTAAAATTATTTACCCCCGGTAAGTTTACTTGCATAAAAGTGTGTGAAAGTCAAATGAGAAACTTCTTTCGGGGACGGAGGGAGTAATTGTCTATGAAATTAGGTCACACACAACTCATGTCTGTGTGAAGAAATGTATTCAAAAACCTTTAAATCGGTCCACAACAAACTACTCCTTCTGTCTCTTATTCCTTTGTCAAGTTTGACCAATATAGTGAATCATAATGTAAAAATGGTATGATTAAGGTTTGTGTAGACAAAAGAGACGTAACAAGAAGCACAAATTAGTTGAATAAAATGGAAAGTGATAAAGTTTTTGGGATAATCATAGATCAATTGATAAATTTACAGTTTAAAAATAAACTTGATTGCAAAACAAATCCAGCCAGTTTGTTCATTGCTCGCAAAAAACTAGCCTCTACTTAAGCTTAGATTTTTTCTTTTTCCTCTCAAGATTTTGTCTGGCAGCTTCAAATTCTTCTTCACTGGGCTCAGGGGCATCCCCGCCATATTTACTGATGACGGATGAGAACAAAGAATTCATCATCCCTCTCCTTTCCCTCTGCCGTTGAGCGATTATGGCAGACAAATCTTCTGATTCTTTCTTAGCTCTGCATTGTTTCATTTATGTCATCATCGTCATGTCAGTATAAGAGCATTGTGTGGGATGGGTATATATATAACTTACTTCTGCTTGTTCTTCCTTAGAGGATTTGTAGGTGGTTTTGTTTCTGAGACTTTCTTAGCCCACTTGTTATATGCTCTGGTCGACTTCAGATCACCTATAACATGCAAAAGAATAGCAATTGACAGACAGCCAATCAACGCACAGAAGAAAATGGCAAAAGAATCGGAAGATGCAATATAGTTGTTTGTGAACGGAAAATGCCAAAAGAATCAAACTCAATAAAACTATTTGTGATATTTGGTTAAACATTTGTTATTTATTACAATATATAACTTTCCTTCAAGTTTCTTTTCCATTCCCTGATATATTCTGCAGATCAAAACATCCGTGAGTGTGTTTGGTTCACAATATAAAATCACAGTAGTTAATGTGATTGCCTTAAGGAAAGTAATGAGAGATTCTGGTACTGTAAGATCACTTGGATAATAGGACTGCCAAGATAATGCATAATTATAAGAATGTAACATTATTTGGTGTGTTATGGTTGGGAAAAGAAAACTGTAATATTGTTCTTTTAAAATACAAAACATGTAAAAATGAAATGAATATGGGTAGAGAATATTATCAAAGTAGTCTTACATTACCTAATAAACCAAACGTAACTCCCAGTATTACATGATTTTCCAATGTGACGATAATCAAAGATTACCCAGTTTATCTCATAAATTGAACCACACAATAAAGCATCACATTACCTTTATCAATGAATCTTATATTCCAACCAAACGATGTAATCTAAGATTACTTTCTTGACATATGAAAAGACAAATTTGAAAATTGACTAAGATTAAATGCTACTCCGTAATAAGTACTACCTCCGTCCCGGAATCAAGTTCCCATTCACTATTCTAGTGGTCAACTTAAATCACTCTTACTCTTTTATTTTATATATCAAATTTTTATCAAAGTTAAATTTTCTTGATCGGACTTCGTAGCGGTTTTAATGAAGTTTCTCAATATGTAAATTTTATTTACTAAAAACAATCTGAATGTGAACAAGGATCGAGTTGCTTTTTCGTTAGTCAAACCTCATAAACAGCAACGGGAACTTGTTTACGGGACGGGGGGAGTATTTGCCAACTTGCAAGCTTAAGAAATTGGAGTTTAGAGGTCAATTAATTCAGATTAAATTATAAACCAATACAAAATAACATGTGTTAAGTTATAGTGCTTCCAGAAATTCAATGCTTGGTCTAAATAACATTTTTTTTGCAAACACCGTCCATAACATGAAAATCTCACCCAATGCTATTGCCTCATCAATAATATCTTTAAAGCGGTGTGAATCCAAGTTTGGATCCGAGCAAAGCATTGAGCAGAACAGCCTGCATGTATAACAAAAAAAAACAGAATTACTAGAGTAAAAAAGAAAGTGGGCAGATATGAGGATGCAAATCAATAAAAGGCTGGATGCAGTTTTAATTAAAAGTGAACTGATGAAGTATCTGGACATTCCTGTGGATACCTGTTCATGTTGCCCTTGTATTTAGTGTATAGATCAATCAGATCTTTCTTTTCTGAATCAGAGCCCCTATAGTTTGCTTCAAACTCTTCAATATCAGCCTCAGTGACCTACAAAGAAAATGAATGTATGTCATTGAAATAACCCATAGGACCATAGTTGTGATGACACACCCATGCAACGAAGAACCTAACCTTTTTTAGCACGGATTTAAAAAATTGCTCTAGGTCTTCGGCAAAACCCCCTGCAAGGTCCTGTAAGTAATAACATGCACTTAGATAAGTACTCTAACATTTAAAGCACGTCTGGGGCCAGTATAATCAACAATATCTGATATGTAAAGAACTAAAGCATAACTTCAGAATGCAATTTTACAAATAATACACTAGCATAGGAAATAATATATTACCTCCGAACTAAATAAATGGTTATGGTACACCAAGGTAGAAGCATTTGATACCTTCAACTTTAGCTATAGTTCAGATTTATTTTTTGGCTTAACTAAACTTGACATATTTAACTTGTTTGAGACACCATTGGAATATATTACATTAACTATGATATTTAAGACATTTTTTGACAACAAAATTCATGAATGACCCTTTTGGGAGGGAGTAACTAAACACATTTTTCGGAAAATTTCACAACAAAGTACTCCGTAGAATAAATAAGGGAACTTAGATGGGATACATTCTCTGCAGAATGTATTTTGCAACAAAAGTCAATAGTCCCTAAAAGTCTAAATGTCCAAGCAAGGTTCTTCTATATTGGAGGCTCTATTCACTTTAAAAAGGGAGACAATAAGAGTTGGCTTAGGCTCTACATTCAGCATATTAAAATTGTTATACATAAGAAAGAATAACGACATGGAACATTAATGTAATAATGTCAACAACATGAGACGTGAAATACACATGTTAATCGCCACACCCTTGGGGTATGTTTAGATCAAGAAAAGTGCTAGGGAAAGGGGAGAATAAATGCTATGGAAAGTTATACAGTGTTTGTTTTTACCAAAGAAGGAAGTGAAAACAATTCTTATTTTATCAAATCTTTTAAAAATATGTTTAGATTTTTTAGTCTTTAAATAATAGATACGAGTTTTGGCCACTTTTAGTCCTCCAACTATTGTGTGACTAACAATTTTGGTACTCGGCTTTGTTTTTTACACTTTTAGTCCTTCAACTATTGTGTGAAAGTCACTTATGGCACCCATTTTTAAAAATTTTCATATTTAGTCCTTCAACTTTCATAAAAGTGACACTTTTGGTCATTCAACTACTAACATTTTTAGTCCTTCACTTATCGTGCCAAAATCACGGTCAAAAGATTAAAAATGTCAATTTTATAATACTCTGGAGTCTAAATGTTGGACACTTTGAAGTCAGGAACTAAAAATGTCTCTCGCACAATAGTCGAGGACTAAATATCAAAAAATTGAAAGCCAAGTACTAAAAATGTCACTGACACAATATTCGGGGGACCGAATGTGGCAAAAACTCTAATAGATATAGATACATACAAATTCCAATGAGTGTGTCTATATATATACACACTACCTCCGTCCCCGAAACAACTTCCCGGTTTGACTTGCATACATATTCAGGAAATAAACTTACAAAGGGGTAAATTTTACTGTTTTAACATTGTTTCAACACTGTTTTGATATAGATAATTTGTCATTTAAGGAATGAGAAGTTAAATTAGGGACATCCAAATAAGGAAAGTGAGAAGTTGTTTCAGGGACAGAGGGAGTATAACAAATTCATTCAGTTGGTTTTAATTCTTGCATTTTCTTTCCTTCCAAATGCCAATATATTTTTCATCTCTACTTTCTTTCTCTGAGAGTTTCCAGGCTCCAAACGGACATTAAGCTAGTTTCAATTATGATCCCAATCTTCTGATTCATTTGCAATGAAACATCCCAATTCTACTAATAGTAAAAGAAGCAAGGCTTCATTTTTTTTAATTATTTTCGGTATTTTGATAGGAATCAGCCTAGTCAGTATTTTATTAAGGGGCAGAATAAGAGAAATAAGGTGTCTAAGGGGTCAAATAGCTAATTAGTTGTTTGTTTGGTCCCTGCATGGACTGTTACTAAAAAAAGTGGAGGGTAGCTAAAGAAGGCAGGCGGTTATTGAATTGGCATTTAGCTCGGAGAGTGGGCTTCTCGAACAGTCCCAAGGCTTTGTTTACGTTCTGTGATTTTCTCTTATTCAATAAACATCTTTCAATCTATTCCCTCCATATTTCCCTAGATCTGTTGCTATTTGCTATTTGGAGAGGTCACATTCATCGATGGAGAAGAGATTAACAAATATGGCAGAAAAGATGACCAGACTGATAGATGCGATGGACGAATTTCAGGGAAGAAGGCGATCACAGTACCTTCAGTTCGCAGATGCGAACAAATTCTCCCAAAGTGTCGCTAAGTGCGCAGACCTTGACGGACAAGGAAGTTACCAGCTCGCGATCGCGACCACTTTTGCCTAGTTCACAGATCTCGTCGCATGCGTAGGTCTCTTATCCATCGCGAGCACTTCCTTCCCGTTATCTGGCTTCATCGGGAACTTCATCTCATAGTTCACGATCGCGAACTTCTACTCAATCGCAGTCGCGAACGGCTCCTCTCAGCTCGCAGGGTTGGTCACAATCAGTTTCTCTGAGTGCGCAAGTGTCAACCGCATCCAGAACTGGAGACCTAGTAGAATCGAGAAATGACTTGTTTGTTGCACCATCAATCTCGGAAGCAGAGCACACTCGTGAACCTATTGAATCTCCACCAAATATTCAGAATGATCCAATCATGCCTATGAAGGAAGACAATGGAATAAGTTTAGGTAAATTAGATCCAGCCCAAGTGGAGAATCTCATTTTGGCAAAACAACTGATGAAGGATTATTCATAGACTAGTGCATTCAAAGGATCAGTTTTCAATCACTCAGAGGTCAAGACAGGGATGACAATAAGGAGCTGCAATTTGGTACTTTCTGCAAATTGGGACTCCTCGGATTCCGAACTAAGATGGGGTGATGAATTTTGTGTGGTTGGACATGAGGAAAGAGCTTCTATAGCTTCATTTTGGTCGGGCAAATTCCGTGAACAGCTGCGGGTTGACAGGAGCATACTTCTAATGAGTCACATTGCTGCTATGCCCTTCTGTCCTAATGGAGTTAGCAAAGTTAATCTTGCTAAAGCATTGGCAGCAACTTGTTTCGGTGAATTGAAGCCTGAGCAGTTAGTAAATGAGAAAGTTCAGTTCCAGCTTTTGCAAAATGAGGACCAGCTGGTGGTGTCAACAACACTTCCTAATGATGATTCGGTGAAGAATTTTACCTATGCTGGACTTAATGAGGACATCATTGATGAATGCTGGATAGGCAGCCAGGGGATTGCATTGGCTTCACATTCTGTATCAGATGTGCTTAGAACCAAAGATCTTCTTGTTGTCAAGACATTACTAACATCAAGGGTGTTGGCTGATCCTAATGTGAGAGTTAAGGGAAGAATGAGTAATGCTGGTAAACTGATTCTTGACAAGCAGGGAAATAAACATGTCTCCCTGTTATTCTTAATCTTTGAGAATTACTTGAACAAAAAGGCATCAGATGAAGAGAGCTATGAATTGGTGGTAGTTTATATGAGATTCAAGGATTCAGAGATGTTCAAGGGCATTTTCATTGGTAAGGCCATGCTTCTGGAAGCAGATTTTGTCTTTCTGGAACTGCCACGAAAACCTACACACATGCTACAGGCTGAAAATAAAGGTTATAGACAAGGGCAAAAGGATGCAGTCAACCTTTATATCTTTTATGCAAAGGATGCCGTGGATCAAGTTAGTTGGCTGAACTTGAGTGAAAGTTTGCGTAGAGTTTCATCTGCAATTAAAGAAAAGTATGATGCTGTTCAGGAAATGGAGGTTGAAATCATCCCTTGCCTTGGGGGAAATGCTGAAATTGAAGAGAAAGAAATGAGTGTTCAAATGGTTTCTAAAATTGTTGATGGCGAACCCGGTGAAGTTCAATTTCAAATAGATACTGAAGTTCAATGTCAGATTGACACTTCCAAGCCTTATCCAGGAGATGCTTGACTACGTGCTCCCAACTGCTTTCATTGTAGTTATGATCGGTGAGAAACATGCGGTTGAGGCAGCAAACTTATTGTACTCCGGAAGGTACAAATGCGTTGTTCATCATGGGACAATGGAAGAGGGGTACGAGATGCAGTTGCTGGGAGAATTCTTGTGCACAGGGATTGAGCCTGGTGGCAGTGTACTGAGAATTATCTTACCTTCACGGGTTGCTGCTATGAGGACTGAGACTTACAGTCCCGAAGCTGGCTTTGTAGTCTCAATTGGAAAGTCTATAAGAGATCACACATGGGGCAGTGAAAGAGATAACAACCTCGGCCAAAAGGATCACTATGTTGACAAAGAGAGTGAGTGGACACCAAAACGAAGAAGACTATCCGAGCTGAAGTATTGAGAAGGGAGAAATGCAAGAATGAAGGGCAAGTGGAAGATCATGGCGGACTCCTATCACCCACCTTGAGGGCAAGGTGGTTGTTTAAGGGGGGGGGTATTGATAGGAATCAGCCTAGTCAGTATTTTATTAAGGGGCAGAATAAGAGTAATAAGGTGTCTAAGGGGTCAAATAGCTAATTAGTTGTTTGTTTGGTCCTTGCGTGGACTGTTACTATAACTAGAAGTGGAGGGTAGCTAAAGAAGGCAGGCGGTTATTGAATTGGCATTTGGCTTGGAGAGTGGGCTTCTCGAACAGTCCCAAGGCTTTGTTTACGTTCTGTGATTTTCTCTTATTCAATAAACATCTTTCAATCTATTCCCTCCATATTTCCCTAGATCTGTTGCTATTTGCTTGATTAATTCCAGAGTCCTATCATATTTAGTTTTTAAAAAGCATCATAATGTGAAAACAATCGGATGTTACATAACATATTAAAAAAGTATAAGTTTCAAAAGTAGCAGGCCCATGTAATCACTTACAGCATCATCAATACAACCAGTTTCATCATAAACTGCCCGTTTCTCCTCATCACCAAGAATTGACATCACTTTTTGCAACTCCTGAAATTTCTCTTTGGCTTCCTGAATAAGGGATAACATGATAAAGTCATTCACCCTTCACAACTGCAAAACTTGACATGTAGTCCCCACCCTTATTTAGTTGCAACAGTTTGATTTTCATGTTTACCAAAGCATGACTTTGACTACTCATTAAGTCACTTGACTATAAATAAACATTATATAAAGCATATAATTTCACATTTTACATAGATACAAATTTAATAATATTTTTAGTCGTATGATACTAATATACTACTCATGTGGTAATAAATAGAATGCCATCAAAGTAGAGCATGTGAAGAATGAAACAGTCAATCCATTGATATTACTAAAGAATGAAAGTCTTATGAGATAATTACACTTTACCTCATTGTCCGGATTTTTATCTGGATGTAGCCTCAAAGCCAGCCTATGGTATGCTTTCTTTATCTCTTGTTGAGATGCTGATTTTTCCACCCCAAGTATCTAAAACCAATTATTTATTCATCAGAAATTGTCACATACTCAAACTACAACTTAACCAAAATTACATTAAGCAATTATTTTCATTGCATGTATAAAGATACACTGTCTAGGGAGCACTTTTGCTAAAGCTTAAAGAAGTGTTTTTAGTTGGTGGTTCCACTTAATTTCAAGCACTAAACTAAAATCCTTATGAAGGGGAAGAGTTCTTAAAACTGCTATTTTTTCGTAATGATTTAGCTACGTAAGAGTTTAACAGATACATGAGCTCATACTATTTCTAAATCACTTTTTAGTTTAGTTTCAAACATATCGGCTATTCGGCTTATACCGTTTAACACTTTCTCAAATGACTCCTGGCAAACAGTCGTGCATATAGGCAACCATAAACAGACCCAAAAACTCCCTAAGATCCCAGTCTTAAGGAAAAGCACATCTACGATCTATCTAAGTCTAAGTAAAATACAAAACTGTAGTACACCAAAGGTATGCAAGACACTAGACTTAATGGTCCCTTCATACATGATACAACCTTAAATCTACCTAAGTTTGAGGAAATGCCTTCATTTCTTATGTTAGTGACAGTTACTAACTTCTAGTCCAAACTTCCATTCACAGATCACAGATCAGAAAATCAGAGGTCATATTCATACGGAAGAAATTTAATTAAAGAATTCCCAAAAATGGGTAACCCTAAGGGCAAAATTAGGGCAAAAAGGTATAAGTAAAATTGAGATTACATAAGAAAAAAATAACTGAGGGAGTACCTCATAGAGGCTCTTCTCATTGGAGGAAGAGCCGGCTTCAGCGGATTCATGATATTGATTTGGTTCTTCGCATTCTTCTTCCTCCAAGTTGTTTTTGGAAGCTCGACGTCTGTTCTTTTTCTTCCCCATCAAGACGATGAGAAGTGATCTGTACGCAATAAGATGAGAGAGAACACCGCACGGAATCCCGCGGCTGAATCACCGGAATCCGCTCCGCTGGGGTTGTTATATATGAGTGTGCGTGTGTGAATGAATGACGAGTGGATGATTCCCGCCACATTGGCGGGCTTTAGTTTTAGGCGTTCCCGCCAATATTTTTACAAGAATCCAGAAGTATATACATGGGCTGATGGGTTGTTGCTTATGGGTTTCATGGTGAGGCCATTAGCCGTGACCCACTTAAATTTATAATGAAAGAAAGGGAAGTTTTCACAAATGGGCTAAACACTGAAAGTAATACTCCCTCCGTCCCTGAATGTTGTTCCAATTGCGGATTACGAAGGTTGACCGACGATAAAGTTAAATGATCCCTGTGAAAACTCGGATTATTTTTAGTAAATAAAATTTACATATTCAGAAACTACATTAAACCCGCTACAAAGTCTGCAAAAAAAAATCAATCTTCATAAAGTTTTGATACAAAAAGTAAGAGTTTAAGAGTGATTTAAGTTGACTCTCGAAAAGCGAAATGGAAGTAAATTTAGGGACAGAGAGAGTATCAGTTTTTTCATCTTTTAAGGTTTTTTCAAGTACACCTAAGTTCGCATATTCTTTTCAATAATGGACCTCACATCCTCTCAAAAAAAAAAATGGACCTCACACCTCAACAGCGGACTCGGCTCTCCATCTGAATGCTCATGTCACGTATCATTTTAATTGAGAAGACTAAGGGCATGTTTGGCACAACTACTGAAAAGATATTTTTGTGAGCTTTTTAATAGCTGTTAGCTTTTAGTGACTGAAAAGATCTTAAAAATAAAAGGTGGTAGCTGTTTGATGAAAAACTGACTGTTTGATTTAGTTCGGTTTGGTATACAAGCTGTTAGGATTAATTAATACTAAAAGTCACTAGCTTTTCTTAGATGCTACTCCCGGTAGCATCTCAAAAAAGATCTTTTAATGTTTGAAAAGTTCTTAAATATTATCATGCCAAACACACAACTAGAAGCTTTTAGGAACTTTTTGAACAGTAGAAAAGCTAGAAGTCAGGGACTTATGCCCGCCAAACATAGCCTAAGAACACGTATCTTCATTACCTAACTAATACTCCCTCCGTCCCCAAAATAACCTCTCGGTTTGACTTTCACACACTTTTAGAAAATAAATTTGACTTTACTGTAGAATGCATTGTTTTGCACTGTTTAAACACTGTTTGACACTGTTTAAACACTGTTTGACACTGTTTATCACTTTTTTGATGTAGATAATTTGTCAAATAATGAAAGTATTGAAGTGTGAAGTTAATTTTGGGACATCCATTTAAGGAAAGTGGGAAGTTGTTTTTGGGACGGAGGGAGTATTTAGGTCATGCACTTTCATTTTATAATCTTGTTTTGAAAACGAATGATTAAAAGTAATAATAATATCTATAAAAAAAGGAGTAATAATAGTAATCTTTTTTTTTAATCATCAAGTAATAATAATAGTAATATTAATAATAACTTTTGAAGGTAAATATCTTATAAACTCTTGAAATTACGAAGACAAATAAAATTAGTAAAAGGATAAAAAAAAGTTTATAAAAATACAATAAATAAAAATAAGAAATATATAAATATTTTATTTGAATTTTGAACATGTCAACTACAAATTAAAACTTTTGGAAATGATAAATGTACAAAAAAGAAAAATTTAAGAACTGAAGTAATATAAAATCTTAAATATTATATACGATAGTAATATAAATACATCATAAAGTAAAAATGATAAAATATTAAATAATGGGATTTTTTAGAGAATAAAAAAGTTCAAAAAAAGTTACAGTGGGAATAATATAAAAGAAGTGGATATATATATATATATATATATATATATATATATATATATATATATATATATATATATAGAACAAAAACTATAACAAAATTTTTAAAAGTGTATGATTATAAGAAAAAACACTAAAACGAGTACAAAAAATTAAAATCTATAGAAAATAAAATATAAAAATAAAAATGTGAAAAATTATAGGGAAAACTATCAAAAAAGCCCCCGTACTATGCCGAAAAAGTCGATTAGGCCCTCGTACTTTACAAACACTCAATTAAGTCATCGAACTATTAAAAACGTTCAATTAAGCCCTTTCGGTCGGAAAGAGCCGGTTTCCCGGTTAAGCGGCGACGACGGCGGCGATGTGCTCGAACCCCGGCAACGGCGGCTGCCGGGAAACGGGTTACATTTAACCGGGAAACCGATTACTTACCGACCGTAAGGGCTTAATTGAATTTTTTAAATCATTTTAATCAATACTTACGTGAGATGCATCCAAATGAAGGGTTGTGATATGTTCTCACGTTCTCACGTTAAGACTCGTTCTCATTTGAACCAATGTATATATATATATATATATATATATAGGGAGCGGATCAGGTGAGAAGTGCTCTTAGGCTGAGAACTGCGAAGTTAAACTTATAGACTAAATATAGGAACTTTTAACCAATAAATCATAACTTATAGACCCCTCGAATATAATTACGAAAATGCCACCGAAAAAAATAATTATGGAAACCTGGAAAATTTGTGGACGCGGTGGCATTTTCGTATGTATTATGGAGAGCTTTATAAGTTATGATTTATTGGTTATAAGTTCTTATATTTAGTCTATAAGTTTACTGCGCTGTAAGATTAGATGCAAATCCAAGGGCTGAGATTACTTCTCACTTCTCATTTTAAGAGGCACTTCTCACCTGATCTTTTCCCTCTGTGTGTGTGTGTGTGTGTGTGCGCGTGCGTGCGTGCGTGCGTGCGTGCGTGCGTGCGTGCGTGTGTGTGTGTGTGTGTGTGTGTGTGTGTGTGTGCGTGTGCGTGCGTGCGATAGAGATCAAATACAAACTATGCTTAATTTACAAATAAGGTACTTATTTACCAAGACATATATGTCCTAATAAACTTGATGGATGGTCTACCCGGGGGGTATATTATCCGGGGGGTTATTGCGGGAATAACTAGAGAGAAGTCAGAGCAAAATAGGAGGAGAGAGAGTCGATTTATTAAATGAACTCTGCGTGTTTTACAAGGTGAATAAGGGCTGCTATTTATAGCAGCAATAAATGCGATGAGAGTACACGTGTCAGTAATCCAACGGCCGAAGGGTCACATCAGTCGGGTGGCACCGGCAGTGGTACGTTCACCGCATTGAATGCGGTTGGCGGATGTGACGTGACATTAAATGCGGTGGTTGGCTGTCTTCAAAAGGAATCTCCGATGATTGAGCATGTCTGGCCGAAGGCTACTTGTGTAGCCGAGGGCTCCGTGTGACTAAGGACCCCTGTGCAGCCGAAGGCCTTGTGTGGCCGAAGGCTTGGTTTAGCCGAAGGCTACTCTGATGCCGAGGGCTCAAGTTTTCGCCGTTTCCTCCCAGCAGCTTCTTATGCCAAAAAGGCTATCCTGTGCGTTCTGGGGCCTTCGGCCTAGGAGGCCGAAGGCACCCCAGTGTGTATTCTGAGCTATTTTGAGGCTTGGGCCGTTACACTTGGGCCTGAGTTGTTCTCTGGGCTCAGTGGGCTCGTGTAGGAGAAGTAGGAGTCTATGGGCCGGGGGTTCCTGGGCCATATACTCCATCAAAACTATTAATGCGTTAAACACAACTTTTATAAAGCCAAATGTTTAACTTTTACAACATTTTAAATTACTTCGCAATTTTCACCCTAAGAACACTTCTCACCTGATACCATTTTGTAACACCCCCAAATTTATATCCGAAATAGGTGCTAATTATAGCAAGTGTAAAAACAGGGCCGGCTAGAGCAAATATGAGGCCCTAGACGGTCATGTAGTCATTTTATTTAAACATGTTATATTCAACATAATAATATAGAAGTAAATATACTTCGTAAATAGAAGTAAATCACATATGAGATGCATCATATACAACGGAGTATTAACGTAATGAGTATATATATACTTTGTAAGAATAAGGTCAAAACTGATTTAAAAAAATGCATTAATATTTTAATAGCCTGTTATTCTTTTAACTTTTTCAAGAGTAACTAACATTTTTTCAATCCATAAATAGCAGATAAGCTATTTTCAGACATGAATGACATGAGATGATTTTTTATCAACTTCACATATGACATTTCTACGGTTCTACATCAATCTCAACAATATTTGAGGGATACATTTTTGTGCTTACAGTACCGACTTGAGCCGGCAAGCGATTTTATGATCAAATCCGATCTTAAGTTTTTCTTTTTCTTTGTACATTTTGAATCATGCTTCCGTTTTTCCGTCATCACAATTTTACAATTTTTTTGAAAAAAATACCTAGCTAGCACTCCGGTACTAAATAAGTTAATGGTTCATAAATACATATTTAATTCTCTAAATTTAATTACATATAAGAAATTATAAATTTTTAATATATATTTCAATCAATCAAAATAAAAAAGATATTTATGACGTACTATGATATACCCTGGGTCACTAGCTAGGTCCCGTCTAACAATAAAAAAGACTAAAGAACTAAAAGTAATTCATAAAATAATAAAATAAGTAATCAGAAAAATGAAAATCTCTTAAATCAACTAAATCAATTACTACGTAGTAAAGGTATTCAACAATTCCATACGGAATATAACCAAAGCTTTAGTGCCGCTATCTTAAATGGGGGATTGTCGAAGGTGCGAAATTGGGAAATTGGACTTTCGCTTCGAGGGCAAGGCTCACCGGTCACCGCCTCAAGTCTTAAAGAATTAATGGTAAGCCGTCTGGCCGTCTCTCACTCTCTCAGCTGATTCTTGGAGCTTCCGCCTTCGACCCTTCGTTTTTGTTTGATTCCGTTTCAGATTTTTTAGTTTCTTACATTAGGAATTCATATTTTATTACAATAAAAATTGAATATACTTATATAATACTAATAGACTTATTATAAAAATGGAGGCCCCTGAAAAAATGGAGGCCCTGGACAACCGTCTAGGTCACCTGCCCCTATGGCCGGCTCTGTGTAAAAAGAATTTCCCAAAACCTTCAATTCAAAAGAGTTTAAATTGCAGCGGAAGCATAATATTCAACGGGTGTTACCACCGCACTCGGTTCTCACATAACCGAGTGCACGGGCTAAACCACCATGCAAAAATAATTCAAGTATTTA